AGCTTCTAATGGGCTTTAAACAGAGGCTAGAAACCAATAAACCAAATTTAACCCATAAGCTATCCGATGTAGGATCATGCTCACATATTAACAATTTGCGAGTATAGTACTCACCCGGCGCTCTTTCTTGTTCTTACTCTCAACTTGGATTTTTTGCGAGTATAGCACTCTCCTTATGGGCTTTAAATAGAAGCTAGAGAGTAGAAACCAATTAACCAAATTTAACCCATAAGTGAGACTATACTCACATATATTAATAATTTGTGAGTATAATGCTCTCCCGATGCTCTTTCTTATCCTTACTCTTAGCTTAGATTGTTGGAGGAGTTTTTGAGCTTTAAATAGAGACTAGGAACTAATTTTAACCCAAAAGCTATAGTTACTAGGTATTGGTCCCAACTCTAATTTTAAACTGATCACTCATTCTTGTCCTATCCAATATAGAACCATACTAATAAATATTAACATTATTACCATCTCTACATCCATTTTAATATTGTTGCATAAGTTAATGCCATGCAAGGTATCATAGTGGTTCTCAAGTACTATAGAGGTTTTAGGAATATGTACAACGATCTACGACAAAAAATAAAAATATAATATAATAATAATAATAATAATAATAATAATAATAATAATAATAATAATAATAATAATAATAATAATAATAATAATAATAATAATAATAATAATAATAATAATAATAATAATAATAATAATAATAATAATAATAATAATAATAATAATAATAATAATAATAATAATAATAATAATAATAATAATAATAATAATAATAATAATAATACTTGGATGTTTTGCTCTTTTCTCGCTTGGAAAATGATTGCAGTTTACTTGTTCATTCCATGATTTGGTCTATGAGGTTATTCTGTCAATTAATAGTTTCTTTGGTTAAGGAGTGTGTAGGTTATTCTGTTAATTAATAGTTTCTTTGGTTAAGGAATGTGTATTTAGTTGGTGATTGCAGTAGGGTTACGTATAATTTGTAGTCAGCCTTGCAAAATATGGGTATTAATATTTCATCACTTGATTTAATTTTGATGGAATAATGCTTTTGATGATGACAAAAATTAAATTACGGTGCTCCTAGTTTTCTTGGCAATTGAATCCATTTATTTTCATGTAGCACGAAATGAAGCTGAAACTCTTGGCTAAAAATTTAGAGGGAAAAGTTCATATTCTGTGCATTTGTCTTGCAAGTTATGGTGTTATATAGCTCAGCAATGCATTATATCCTCTTTTTTTAAGGAGTTGAACAAGATTGATGCCTATACGGCAACTAAGCATGACCTTGAAGAGTTTCTTCATGTTCTTAAGAAGAGATTTGGGGTAAATTCTTCATTTTTGTATATTATTAGATTCAAATATAGGGATTAGCATGATAACTTATTTTGTGTTCAAGATTCTAATTCATAATAATTTGACATCTTTGTTTTCAGATTGAATGAAGGTCCTCGATGCTCCATGCAGGTTAACTATAAACCCTTGTCACCTCAGTTTATACATTATTTATGAACAGCTTGCACAAGATAATAATCATCCGATTGTGTAATTATATTGGATTTAATTGTGAATATAATTTCAAGTTTCATTACAACAACTATGCTTTTACACGATCAAGAGTTCTCAGGAATTAGAGCTAGAGGAGCTCGAAAAGCTACCAAAGTTCAAGGCTAAGCCATTGAATAAAAAGGTATTTTATTTATAACATTTTTTGAGTGAACTCATATTATGTTACTGCTTTCATAGTTTTGTCGCTGCTTAATTTCTCACCTCAGATAACAACACCTCAGGAGTTCCATTTCGCAACTGATGAGAGGCTGGGTCCCCCATTACCAGTTACTGAGATGTTAGATAAGGTAAAACTTGAATAGATATCCATTATTCATATATGTGAAACTAATATTGAACCATAGATTAGAAAGATAGATTGCTTAGCAATGACATCAAGGTTGCCGTCAAACACCTCATTTCATCCCTACGTCGATCTCTTCCTTTATGTCGATTAAAATTCAATTCCAATTGCTTCGCAGTTACATTTCATTCTTTTTTTATCTGTCTTTGGCCCTTAGCGACATTTTTTTTCTCTCGAGTAGTTATCAAGAATAAAATATTTTTTCGCCAAATATCTCACATGTTTAGTTTTCCTGACCTCTGAAAATTATATTCTAGGATATTTACTCGTAATAAATCAATTTTTGCATGTGAACGAAGAGCATGTGGCCCTCATGATGGAAGCACTTTCACATAGAAAGGGAAGTGAGAGAGTAGAGCAGGCGTTTTGAAAGGAGAGAGGGGGCAATTGCTTCCCTATGTAACAAGTTGGGCCATTTGTAATTTTATTGATTTATTTATTGTCAACAGAAAGGTTTAATAGTTCATGTTAGAGTGTAATTGTTTAAGGTAGTTGGAGTCTTTGTAATGCTAAATTAATGTACTTTATCTTGGTATAGCGTTCATTTTGTTAATAGATATTATTAGATTAGTTCATCTTGGTATAATCTTGGTAATGAAAGAAGCTCAAGTATTTTCCTATAAGCATTTTTTGCTTAATTCTTCAATGACCAAAGTAGATTCTGCAAAAAAAAAAAAAAAAAAAAAAAAACATAGCATCCTAGACGACATTCGGAAAAAAAAAAAAAAAAAAAAAAACTGTAGCATAGCATCCTAGACGGAAATTCCGTCTAGGATGCTTAAATTCCGTCTAGAATGTTTTTTAAAATTAAAAAGATTAAAAAATTTAAAAAATCAAATTCCGTCTAGAATAAGATTTCTAGACGGAATTTTCCGTCGAGAATACTTATTCTAGACGGAATTTTTTTCCGTCTAGGATAAATTATTCTAGACGGAATTTCCGTCTAGAATAATCCGTCTAAGATGTATTCTAGATGGTTTTAAATTCCGTCTAGAATATTCCGTCTAGGATGTATTCTAGACGGAATTTCCGTCTAGAATACTACATACTAGACGGAAATAAACTAGACGCGTATTCTAGACGGAATTCCGTCTAGAATACGCATCCTAGACGGAATTCTGGGTATCCTAGATGGAGAATTCCGTCTAGAATACGCATCCTAGACGGAATTCTAGGTATCCTAGACGGAATTTTCCGTCTAGGATGCCTCATTTTTTAGCAGTGTTTTTCATCTGAGCTGAAGCTCTGTACTTTCGTCCCAGTACGGAGACCGGCCGTTTCCGATCACTTTTACCGCTAGGGGGGAGAGAACCATTTGCGCCAGGGCGATAGGCGGGTTCTCAATCTTCTAGGGCAGTGATTACACGACTGCTCTCGTCAGGCCTGGTTTTCTTATCTCTTATTTATTTTATTCGAATTTATCTGCTTGCTATAACCTTTAAAGTTGGTAAGTTTCCAACAATCTAGAAGATTGAGAAGTTTATAGCTTTTGATTTAAATCCTGAGAAAAAATTATTTTTAAAGTTACTGTTCATGGGAATAGTCTACTGCTCATCTAAAAAAATTTCCTTTTATGTTACTATTCATATATCTGTTTTTAACATTGTTTAAAAAAAATTTGTTTACGGTTACTGTTCACCCGAAAAATTATTGTTCATATTATTTCAGTTATTTTTCGTTAAAATTTTTTTTCTGTTACTGTTCACCCGAAATAGTCTCTGCTAATTATTTTTTTATCTTTTGATTAATTAGTTGTTGTTTTATTTTAAAAATATATATATAAATAATTAAAAACTATTGTTTATTTATTTTTAAGAACGTTACTGTTCATTTTTAAAAATGATGTTACTGTTCATTTATTTTTTTAAGAACGTTACTGTTTATTTTAAAAATGACGTTACTGTTCATTTATTTTTTAAGAATGTTACTGTTCATTTTTAAAAATAACGTTACTGTTCATTTATTTTTGAAGAACGTTACTGTTTATTTATTTATTTAAAAAAACGTTATTGTTAATTTAAAAACAGTTTTAATGTTCAGTTTATTTAAAAAAATCTGCTTAATGCTTACATAAAGCATTGTTCATCAGAGAATTATTCTTCTTTGTTCATAAAAATACAAATACTGTTCTATGAAAATTTAGTTTCTAAAGCCTATTTTAAAAGTAAAGATTATCTCTGTGATTAATTGCTCATGTTTATTGCTGATTAATTTGAGCTGTTAAATTCTTATTTTCATTAATCCTCTTTAATGTGTAAGCTTTATAGATGGGTTTTGCTCTCACGACATTTAAATCATGAGGTTCGAACATCAATAAGTAAACCCCTCCTCGGCCGTATCCAACATATGTTTGCATTACAATTGCTTGGCAAATTAAATGCTTGCAAAATATTTTAAAGTTTCTATATACTATTAAGGAACAAAAAATCATTGAGTAAACCGGTTCAAGTTTTCTTGGATTAGTTGGTGTCTAAGGTAAGGTTTAGGGGTTGCGTAATGCGCTCTGCAAGGAACGAGGTACTTAATTGATCTTTGATCAACCTCTAGTACTATCCTTACCTGGCTAACTACCAGAGTAAAACGTTAATTAATCTTTTCACTTAAAGAGTTTTTGGTTAGTAATAAGAGGAACCGAAATTATGAGAAAAATTCATATGCATTTATTTAAGGGAAAATTGCTTCCAGCCCCCAAAACCGCCCAAAACATGCTCTGCCCCCCCAAGTCCTTTTCAACGTTCCTTTTACCCCCAAAACCGCCCCCGATTTTCTTCCAGCCCCCAAAACCAATCCCCAGGCGTAACGCCGTTTAAACCCCGCTCGAAATGCCCAAAATACCCTTCGCAGCCTGTGTTCTTCGCCCTCTCACGACGGAAACCCATCGTTTCGACTGTAGGCATTAAATGGTGATTAGAATGACTTTTTTTTGGGGGGGGGAATTACTATTTCCCTCCAAAATTATCATCAGATATTATCACCAGCTATAGTCCCCTTTAAGCTAAGTTGTTCCTTCCACTTAATTCTCCTCAATAAAAGCCTCTTCGATTCTTCAACCACTCCCTGTAATAAAATGGCGGATGGATCTCTTCTATGTGTGGTAACAAAGGCAAAAAGCAACAAAGGTGGTGACGGTGTATTCGTCGTTATCAAAGAGAATACAGAAATAATCAGCTTGAGATATCGAGTGGCGGAAAGGCTTAAAATACCAATGCAATCTCTTTCACTGAAGTTCATATGCGAAAGGGAAAAGAAATTCAGCATTTCAATTGACAATGACGACGACTTAAATTTGATGTTCGAGTATTGTCGGCGTAATGGATTTACAGACGCGAATTTGTATGCCACCTCCGCTGTGGAATCCTCAACTTCGCAGAACACGCAGACTACGCCGGAAACTGCGTAGGAATTACATTCCAGATTTCCTTTTGAGTTCACTGATAGGTTTTGCCATTAGTTGTTAACCTCATGCATTGGTTGCTTTGGTAATGTGTTGGTTGTCAAGGTTATGTTAAGCACTGATTGTTAAAGTTATTTGTTGGCTGTTACGTATACTAGTTGTTTGCTAAGTTAAGGTGTTTGATGTTAAGTATATGCGTTTGTTGTTAAGGTCATAGGTTTTGCCATTAGTATAAGGGTTAGTTGTTAAGGATATGTGTAGGTTGTTACGTTTATGAGTTCGTTGTTAAGGTTATCAGTTCGTTGCTAAGGCTATGTATTTTGATTTATACTTCAGGACAATACCGGTTAAGGTGTTTGATGTTAAGTATATGCGTTTGTTGTTAAGGTCACGAGTCTGCCCTTAAGTATAAGGGTTAGTTGTTAAGGATATGTGTAGGTTGTTACGTTTATGAGTTCGTTGTTAAGGTTATCAGTTCGTTGCTAAGGCTATGTATTTTGATTTCTACTTCAGGACAATACCGACAGAAAATTCACGGTGCGCAGATACCCCGTTCACCCAAACCTGTAATGATGAGCGTATTCCTAATGGCAACCCCACCGGCGACTCGATCATGCTGCTGGAAGACATGCTTAATCACCAAACAAAGATCCCAACTGAGTGGCACACCTCCATACGTGAAGTTGGTCAGAAATTTGATAGTGCTGCTGAAGTTAGATTAGCACTTCAATACTATTCAATTGCTAAACGGTTCGAGTATGATTTTTACCACAATGAACAAAGACGCATAAGAGTCTATTGCCGATTCAAACACACACATGGTTTCCCTTGGATGTTGTTTGCTTCCCCGCTCAGAAATTCGTCTATCATGTCCATAAAGAATTTCGAGTCTACCCACACCTGCGGTCAACATGGATCAAATGCTGGCAACTCAAGGGCATCAAGGAAGTTCATTGCTAGCCAAATACAAACTGTTTTGAAGGTTAGGCCAGATCTTCGTGCGGTCGATATCAAGAACGACATGCTCTCTAATTTTGGCATCAAGATTAACTACAGTAAAGCGTGGTGGAGCAAGGAGACAGCTCAACAGGACCTGTTCGGTGACGATGATGAGGCTTACGATTCACTGAGATGGTCCTTATCTTTTTTATTCTTCTGAAATCACTCTTACCTTTTGGTTGCTAACTATACGTAGTAGTTGTTAAAGTTGGCGGTTCGACGTTAAGTGTACGTGTTGGTTGCTAACTATACGTATTAGTTGTTAAAGTTATTGGTTCGTCGTTAAGTATACGTGTTGGTCGTGAAGTTTGAAGATCATTCGTTATGGTTATGAATCCTTTGCTAAATGTACTGCTTTGTTGTTATATTCATGCAGGTATGAATCCATGGTGCATGCAACTAATCCAGGGAGTCGTGTTGTTATTGATACTGATGACGGGAGGTTCAGGCGACTGTTCATTAGTTATAATGCCTGTATTGAAGGGTTCATTGTTGGGTGTAGGCCTTTATTGTTTTTGGATGGAACATTTATTAAAGATTGTTACAGAGGCATACTACTTAGCGCTACTGGGTATGACGGCAACCAGGGAATATTTCCCCTAGCTTATTGCGTATGCGACCAAGAGAATGAGGTTAACTGGAAATGGTTCTTACAAGGATTATGGACGTTATTGTATGATAGGGAAAATCCTTACCAACCTCCACATCGACTGGTAATGATTTCAGACGCCGACAAGGGTATCAGGGCAGCAGTCGAGGAATTCTTTCCAGATGCATTCCATTCAAGGTGTGTTCTGCATCTAGTCGAGAATTTCAAAAAAAAGATGAAGGATTTTGGGCACAAGGCAAATATCGCGACTACGTTGGGCGAGCTGTTACAATCTGCGGCTTATAAGTTCACAATATCTGAATGGGATAATGACATGAAAGAATTGGCAGCGATCGATCACAGGGCTTATGTCACTGTAATGGAATACTCCCCGGAGAGATGGGCAAACGCGCATTTTCCTGGTATAAGGTAAGATAGCTTGGTCCCGACGTTATTTTGTTACAGCACTGTTATAGTTGTTAAGGTTAGAGTTATCCTACAGTTTTCTGTTAAGGTTAGATTTTTATTGTTATGGTTAGAGTTATTCTGCTAGGGTTTTGCTGTTAAGTTTAGGATATTTGTTGTTAAGGTTAGGCCTTTAATGTTTAGTTTAAGGAATTATTGTTATTGTTAGTGCTTTGTTGTTAAGGTATGGCCATGTTACTTCAAACGTTGCTGAGTCCTTCAACAGCTGGATAAGAAAGGCACGATTGTTGCGAATCTTACCTTTGGTTGAGACCATACGGAAGCAAATAATGGAGCGCATGCATGAAAGGAGGCTATTGGGTCAGAAATGGTCTGGATACCTATGCCCGGAAGCGGAGTTGGTGCTGAGTGATAACATTCAGCATGGTAGCTGCTTGGCGATTAAACATTCGACGGAAGATATTGTGGAGGTCGAGTCCAATAAAACTTGCCGCGTAGATTTGAAGAATCGGACTTGTTCTTGCAGGTCCTGGGACATCACCCGCATTCCCTGCAAACATGCGTGCGCTGCAATTACATGGATGGGACGAGAAATTTATCAATATTGCGATTGGTACATGACTGTTGTTGCGTTCAGAGCAAGCTATGCACCGATCATCTATCCCATCCCAGATTACGAGAAGCGCTTTGTACCGCCAGAAGAGCGAGTGTTGAAGCCTCCTCTCACCAAAAAAAGACGTGGCAGACCATGCACTAGACGAATAAACAACAGGTCGCTGAACACCCGACCGGTTAAGTGCTCTCGATGCAACATGGAGGGTCACAATCGTGCAAGCTGTAACGAGCCTATATAGTTTAGCGTTTTATTGTCATGTATATGGATTTGTTGTCCTGTATATCACTACAAGTGAGAAGGTCATAGCTTGGTTGTTAAGGTGATAAACTTGGTTGTCAAGTTTATCACTTTAATGTTGACGTTTTGACTTGGTAGTTAAGGTTATTACTTGGTTGTCAAGTTTATCACTTTAATGTTGAAGTTTTGACTTGGTTGTTAAGGTTATTGTGTTGGTTGTCAAATTTATCACTTTAATGTTCAAGTTTTTGATTGATTGTTATGTTTATCGATTGAATGTAAAGTTTATTGTATACACCTGCTATCCACCTGCTCTTTGTTGTCAGTATCACCGATCGTTAAATAAATTTGTCAAGTATATCGTTAAAATTATTAAGTTTTATGGTTATTACTTGGTTTTCAATTTTATCACTTTAATGTTGAAGTTTTGGCTTGGTTGTTAAGGTTATTACTTGGTTGTCAGTTTTATTTGTTTGTTGTTAAGGTTACTATTATTCACTTGCAATTGGCTGTCAAGGGTACCGAGATATTTTTGATTTGACTGCATTCAATGCATTTCATAGTTCCCAAGGCAGTAGAGTAATATCACCAACCCTCGGATTGTTCCAATACAGAACCGAACTATATAACATTTCTCTGTTGTTAAGGTTATGTATTGGTTGTTAAAGTCAGCTCTCTGTTGTCAAGCTTATGGAATGGTGGCTAAGGTTAGCACCTTGTTGTAACGCTTAGCTCTGTTGTTTGGCTTATGGGTTAAGAAGATCACGGGGTTGAATTGTTCATATTATGGTTTTGTTATTAAAGATTATGTGCTGGTTGTCAAGCTTATAGACTGGTTGCTAAGGTTAGAGCCCTGTTGTCAAGCTTATGGGTTGGTTGCTAAGGTTAGAGTCCTGTTGTCAATCTTTCTCTGTTGTTAAACTTATGGAATGGTGGCTAAGGTTAGCGCCCTCTTGTGGAGAGGTCCCTTACTGTTATTCAGCAGAGTTTGGTTGTCACGGTCACCGGCGTATATTCTCTGATTGCTTTATTTCCATCACAGTGTCCTCCCGCAGAGTGTCTGATTCCAAACAACCCATTCGAAGTATAAATATTAAGAAAACATAGCCCCTTCTATCTAAACTTAACAATTTCATAGTAAACCTAACAACTGATGCCTAAACACATGGTGAAAAAGTTGCTAACCTATACAAGTTTGCGTCTCCCCATCACCTGCAGAAGGGACTTCAACCGCCGGCGTTATTTCCCTTCCAGTGCCCTCGCGTTGAGTGCCTGTTTCTGATAATATTCAGAGTATAAACAATAAAAAGCTTAACAACCAATACGTAGACATAACAACCAATCTCTAACATATAGTACAAAAGCAAGCTAACCTGTACAAGTTAGTAGCTCCTTCGCTGGCGGGGACACCTTCTCTCCCTCGTTTATTTCTGCCTCAAGGGCCTTTTCAACAGCAGATGCCTCTGGTGGAGGTAATTCTCCTGGCGGAGTATCTTCACTCTCCTTGTGGATATCAGAAAACAATGGTTGTGGAGAGGCCCTCCCTGTTGGAGGGGCCTCGCTCTCCTTATTAGCTTCATCACATAATAATGATTTATTGACATCCCCATCGTACTGTACATCAATGCCACCCACGGTGCCTGGAGTGTCTGATTCAAAAAATAAACACAAATGAGCTTAGGTACTTCATTGTCAAAAAAAACATAGCATCAGTTACATAACCTTAAAACTAACCAAGATACTTAACAATCAATCTCCAACCTTGGCAATAAATCCCTGACCTTAACATTAGATACGTAAAGTTAACAATACATTCTTAACCTTAACAATAAATCCCTAACCTTAACATTAGATCCTTAAAGTTAACAATACATTCTTAACCTTAAAAATAAATCCATATACTTATCAATCAATTTTTAAACATAACACGCAAACGTAATTGCAAGCCACATCTAACCTGTACAAGTTTGCGGCTCCATCAATGGGCTGGACACCAATCCTGTAGGGCTCTTATCCTTGTATACAGAGAGGGTTCCGGATCGTGCTTCGCTTAGTTCCTCTCTCAGTCTTCTGTTTTGAGCAGACAACTTAGCCACATTCACAGAAAGAGCACTTATCTTTACACGGTCTCCAGCAATCATATCCTTGAATTTATTCTCGTTCTCGCGGCGTAATGCTTCGTTTATTGCTGCGATGCTCTTCCAGTAGATAACTTGTTGAGGCCAATCCATTTGCTCAACTGCATCATTTGGCTGCTCGGTGTCTTCATCAATATCCTGTGGCATCACATATGCAACGGACATGTAGAGTACTATTAAAAGGATTAATTAATTAATTCAAAAACAAATGAAATCAATGATTGCTAAGTTCTTACAAGTGCATCAATTTGGATGTCGTCATCTTCTGCTCTCCTCTTCTTCTTGTGAAGAAGGTCTCTTGGGCCACGAGCCCTGCCGGCGTCTACTGCAGCCGGACCCTTAATCCTCCTCTTCTCTCTCTCTCTCTCCTCTTCTCCTTCTCTATCCCCTGCTCCTTCCCACAAAAACCTCCCTCGATTCTTTGAAGTTGTCAATGTTGCTGTGGAAGCTTTATCGTAGCTTTGCTTGCTTTCGCAACAACAGTGGCCAATCTCAAAGAACCAGCAACGTGCCCAAGTCTCACCCAATTTGTCAGGGGAGGCCTCACCGTACAACCAAGTGCTGGCTTCTTAATGCCGGTGAGTTCATATTACCACAACTGCACATTAGAGAAATAGAAACTTAACAAACACCTTCATCCGTAACAATTAATAAGTAACCCTAACAAGAAAAACGTAACCTTAACAACCAAACCGTAATATTAACAACCAAACCGTAATATTAACAACCAAACCGTAACCTTGACAACGAAACTGTAACATTAACAAGTAAACCCTAACCTTCACAATCAGTAAAAAACATGATTACTTACACAAACTAGAGGGGTACACCCTTGCAGATATAATGTCGTCTTCCCTGGCTCAGGACCCTTCAGTGCCCTCTCTATCGCGTCAGATGTCTCACTGAATACATAGGTCCCCCAAGCAGTGTTGTTGATCTGTTCGATGCTGTCGACGTACTTGAATAAATGCCTAGGAACGCCGGAAATACTGCTTGGACACCAAATCATGCTCAGCTGATAGAGGATCTGTAGCAGGACAAAGTCCTTCACATCTCGGCGATCAGAAGATAGTACCAGCTTCAAGAGCAGGTCCTCCACATTGCGTTTGGTGGGGCCTCCTTTGGGGGGAGCTATACTGCTGGAACCCCCCGCCTCGGGTTTGTCAAAGAACCTGGACCAAATCCTATTTTTCCTGTCCCGATTGTGGTCAACATGAAGCCCCTCATTGGAGAACCATGTATGCTCCATTACCCACTCAAGGTTGAATGAGCATGGGATCTCTTCTCCATCATTCCTATCGGTGAAGACGAATTTTTTGCTCTTCTTGTCCCACTGACTCAAAATGTGCTCAAAGGTGGGAAGATCGACGCCAGGTGGGCCAAATTGGACGTAGTGTCTGAATACACTATCTTCGTAGGCCGCAAAATGCCTTGGCCCCATACGCGTCACCAAATTCTGCATGAAGTCGTGATAGGCACCGAAGCTGGCGGTGGGCCGCAACGTAATAGCTGGCTTTGCCCTTTTTCTACAAAACAAAAACACAAGACGAGAGCATTTTTGAGTATAATCAGTAAACATAACAGCTATGCTGTAAACTTTGCGGGTAAACCAACAACCTTAACAGCAACCACATAACCTTAACAACAAAAACCTAACCTTAACAACCAAAGCCTAACCTCAACAACTAAACAACAACCTTAACAATAAAGGCAGTAACCAACAACCTTAACAACAACCCCACAACCTTATCAACCAAAACCTAACCTTAACAACCAAAGCCTAACCTCTACAAATAAACAACAACCTCAGCAATAGAGAATGGCTGGTTGCGATGTCCTCTAGAACATCGCCAATCGCAGCTCGAGCTTCAGATTCATTCCGCACTGCACTATCTGAGATTTCGCACCGCTGGGCGTCATAGCTTTCGTTGTGGTCGGCATTGAGGTTGGCTTTGGGGGTTTAATCGCCGCCATTTTGATCCCTTTGCTTTGATTCGGTTTGCGTTGGGGTCGGTTGGTTTAGGGCTAGGGTTTTGAATTGGGTTTCTGGGGTCGGTTTGCTTGCAGAAGAGAGAGATGACAGGGTACGGACGAGGAGGTAACTCATAACGGGGAATTTTAAACGTAAGGGTATTTTGGGCATTTCGAGCGGGGTTTAAACGGAGTTAGGCCTGGGGATTCGTTTTGGGGGCTGGAAGAAAATCGGGGGCGGTTTTGGGGGTAAAAGGAACGTTGAAAAATCTTGGGGGGGCAGAGCATATTATGGGCAGTTTTGGGGGCTGGAAGCAATTTTCCCTTTATTTAATTACGCTTCTTGCATCATATATTGCCGAATGATAAATGATTAATATATGAGCGAACCAAATCAAAGAGGTGCATCTTTTAAAATTCTATTTTATATGGTGGATTATATTTCAAATCATCAAATGTAAAGTTCATCTCTTTTATTGCGTTATGATGGATATTGCAATAAATGTTCATATGTCCTTTTAGATAACTTGCATTTGTTACATGATTAATTACAAGGTTTTATGCAAGAATGCACTTGTAAAATTTAAAGCACGTATGTACAAATATTATTATTATTATTATTTGTATAAGAGGTGGTACTAGAAAATGACAACATAAATTTGGAAGGTCTCTTTTGTAGACAACCAATTTAAATTTGGAAGGTCTCATTTGTAGGCAACCGATTTAAATTTGGAAGGTCTCCTTAGAAGGCAACCAAATTTGCAATCTCTTATAGTAGAAAATTTAAAAAAAAAATAATGCATATGTAGTGAAATATTTTTTAAGATACAAAATCCTATTATAAGGTTCTCTTTAATGCTTTGCATGTATCTTTTATTAATTACATTCATGTATGTGCATATGCATGCATGTAAATATATAACTGTAGTTTTTTAGTTCCACATTAGTCTGAAATGTTCAGATATTAAGGTCAAATCCTTATCTGCACAAACACTATGTGTTTACATCTTCAGACATAGACTATGATCTTTTATGCTCATAGACCATGACCTAATATCAATTTCAAACAATATGATGGACTAATTACAAAATAAGAACTTGATAAATAAATACAACGCCTGCTAGGCAAAGTTGTGATTCTAGACTTTGTAAAGTCTGTGAAAAGAATCTTGCTGACCCTTTGACAAATGGTCTATCCAGGAGTGTGGTTCTGGATTCATTGAGGGAGATGGGGTTAAGCCCATAGATGAGATCACTGACAGCGACAAACCAACCCTTATTTGGAGACGTAGTCCCAATGTTGGTTCAATGTGGTAGAAACAAGCTGGACTAGTGACACTCGTATGGAGCATCGACCCAGATATATTCATATATTACTATGTAGCTTGTGCTACTATCCCTTCTCTATGATGATGATGCTCTTATGATACAGCTGGCTAGGCTGAGTTTTACTCTTAATAAGTCCAACGTGTGTATTATGGGGGGTATTAAATAAACAACTGTAGTACCCTTTGAGGACTTACCTACGTGAGAGGAACTGTGATGGCCGCGGTTAGGGGGGGCTGGGCTAACCCTAGAAACTCTCATGAGTCGGTTTATTGTGAGCATGTCCTTTAATGCTCAACCCGCTTTGCTCAATAGATGAAGACGTATTGTGTGTGTTTTTATCAATACCTTATTCAAGGAGCCTAATTCAAGACTTAGTTCATTATGTCCCTCAGGTGGCGATGAACTCACTAAGGAAATGTTCAAAGCCGAAAGCTACCTCTCCCGAATCCACGATATGTAAGGTTGCCCAACCTATTTTCTTTTTGTGATTTATTGATTTATTTATTGATTTTGAGTTTTCAGTCAATATTGCCTTTTGGGGGGACTGTTGGATATTTATTAAGAAAAGGCAATTTTGCCTTTGTGTTTTAGTGCCACATCGAAAAATTGAAAAGAATCCTCTCTCCCTCAACCCTATAAATACACCATTATTCACATTCTAAAACATAAGAAAAAAAAGTTTTTTTCTCCTCTCCTCTGGTTTAAAGAAAATTGTTTTTCCCCTTTATAAATTTTGTTATTAATTTTTTGGACAATCTTATTCATCTGAGCTGAAGCTCTGTACTCTCGCCCAAGTATGGAGGCCGGCCGTTTTCGGGGACTTTTACCGCTAGGGGGGAGAGAACCATTTGCACTAGGGCGATAGGCGGGTTCTTAATCTTTTAGGGCAGTGATTACACGACTGCTCCCGTCAGACCTGGTTATCTTATCTCTTATTTATCTCTTATTTATTTTATTCGAATTTATCTGCTTGCTATAACCTTTAAAGTTGGTAAGTTTCCAACAGCTTGTTCAGAAGAAGAAGAAAAAAAAAGATGGTAAAGATCTGCTGCCATGGAGCTGGCTATGTCGGAGGCCCAACAACGGCGGTGATCGCCCTCAAATGCCCTAAAGTCCAAGTCATCGTTGTTGATATTTCTGGAAACTCGTATTTCAGCCTGGAACAGCGATCAGCTTCCAATCTACGAGCCAGGCCTTGACCATGTAGTTAAGAAGTGCCGTGGTAGAAATCTCTTCTTCAGCACTGACCTGGAGAAGCACATCTCTGAGTCTAACACATCATTTTTGTATCTGTGAACACTCCAACAGAGACTCATGACCTCGGTGCTGGCAAGGCTGCTGACCTCACCTACTGGGAGTCAGCTGCTCGCATGATAGCTGATGTGTCGAGATCAGACATACAAGATCGTAGTGGAGAAGTCCACTGTGCCTGTGAAGACTGCTGAGGGCCACTGAGAAGATTTTAACCCTTAACAGCAAAGGAATTAAGTCCCGGATCCTTTCCAACCCGGAGTTTCTCGCTAAAGGAGGTACGGCAATCCAGGACCTCTTCTATCCTAATCGAGAGTCTTGATTGGTGGCCGAGAGACTCCTGATGGCCAAAAGTCGGTTGAAGCACTGAAATCAGTCTATGCAAACTGGGTCACAGAGGATCGGGTTCTAACTACCAATCTTTGGTCAGCGGAACTCTCAAAACTCGCTGCAAATGCTTTTTTGGCTCAGAGGTTCTCGTCAGTGAATGCGATTTCAGCACTATGTGAGGCCACGGGTGCTGACGTGGCGTATTCCATAGGCAAGGACTCTCGTATCGGGGCCAGGTTCCTGAATGCTATTGTTGGTTTCGGTGGCTCCTGCTTCCAAAAGGACATCCTAAACGTAGTCTATATTTGTGAGTGCAATGGCTTGCCAGATGTGGCTCACTGCTGGAAACAAGTGATCAAGATCAACGACGTCCTAAACTTAGTCTATATTTGTGAACAGGATAGTCTCCTCCATGTTTAATACAGTTGCAGGAAAGAAGATTGCAATTTTAGGGTTTGCCTTCAAGAAAGACACCGGTGACACGAGGGAGGCTCCTGCTATCGATGTTTGTAAAAGTTTGTTCGGTGACAAGGCAAAGATCAGTATTTACGATCCTCAGGTGACTGAAGACCAAATACAGAGGAATTTGGTCATGAACAAGTATGATAGGGACCATCCTCTTCATCTTCAGCCTTTGAGCCCAACCACTGTAAAGCAGGTTTCGGTGGGATGCTTATGAGGCTGCCAGGGGGGCACATGGTGTTTGCATCTTGACTGAATGGGATGAGTTCAGGAAGCTCGACTACAAGAAGATCTATGACAGGATGCGGAAGCCTGCATTTATTTTTTGATGGTCGCAATGTGATTGACCCCCAGAAGCTGAGGGAGATTGGTTTCGTTGTGTACTATATTGGGAAGCCTCTGGATCAGTGGCTCAAAGGATATGCCAGCATTCGTGTAATGAGGAAAAAGGGTGGATTGTTTTGGTGGATTGTAAGCTCACAATTGATGATTCTTTAAGGATGTCATTTCTTTTGACAATGCTTCAATATTCTTTTTTATTATTTAATTTGTTTTAGGAATAGTTATAACTAAAAGACTGCTGGTTGTGGTCTTAGACATTCTTAGGAAAAGTGTCTTTTGTTAGAATAGGTTTAACTTTTATGTTTATTTTCCTAGCATAGAAAGAATGGAGCACAAATTAGTAATTGACTTGTCAATACCTGTTATCTTCTCTGCTTTTGGTTATTGGTAGCATGTAGTTATCCGAAATTTTAATGTTTCAAACTTCCGTACAAGAATTTCTATAGAACTCAATGCGAGAATTATTGTAGTTATGTAACCTCTGTTTTCCTAGAATATTATTGTTGTATTGTTGTAGATAGGAAGTGAAAGATATCATTGAGAAGCTTAATATAATGAAGATATTTTTGTCCCTTTGAACTATTATAATGTTCTGGATTTGTGCCTGAATTAATTTTTTACCTGAATTTTCTCCGACTAAAATTTTATAGTAGCATGTCGATCTAAAATTTTATAGTAGCATGTCGAAGATATTTTACGTAAATCCTTCAGCTATTTTCTTGGGGATATAGTTGCATGTCGAAGGACTGTCAGTAATCAGGTAATTGTTGTGCGCGGCGGTCAAACCGATAGGTTGCCGAGAACAAATATTAATGCTGAGAGAGAAAACAAAACAATCCAAAATAACGGCATAAACACGAACAAACGAAGTTTACGTGGTTCGGCAAGTTGCCTACATCCACGGGGCAAGAAGGGGATGAGTTTTCACAAATAGAGAAGAAGAGTACAAATAGAGATTACAAATCTACAAACTAAACTCTCACACAAAGCTCTCAATCTCTCAAACAAAACCCTAACCAATAGCTCCAGAAAAGACTCTTTTTGTGCTCCAAATTTCCCCAATACTACTCTCCCAGAAACCCTAAAACATGTTTAGGATTATATATCAACATAAAACAAAACGGGTCAGAAAACGAAACCCAGACTCAGACCCGACTGGCGGTCGACCGCAGAAGCTCAGACCCGACTGGCGGTCGACCGCCGAAACCATCGCGGTCAACCGTGGCAAACGATAGAACCAAAAATTCAATTACAGTGTTTGGCGGTCAACCGTGACGGTCGACCGCTACCAACTCCAGAGCCTCGGAATCGATTACAGGATTTGACGATCGACCGCGACGGTCGAGCGCACCAAGTCCAAAATCAATCCTTAAGATGTGCACGTTTCCAGTCGACCGGCCTAGCCTCGCAGTTGACCGAACGTCACCAAAATAGTTCCCTACTTCCAAAATTCTTGTTCTTCTGTAATTTCTTCGCTAATTCTACAATTCTCCACTTCGGCGAAGTTTTCCCAAAACTAAGCCGACACCAATACCAACCAAACGTCACACTTGCTGCATCCAGTACGAAGTGGAACAAAACCATGATAACGAACTCAATCCACAACAAGTTGAGACCCAAGCGAGAATAAGAACAAACTCCAAATGTTGGTATCAACTCATCAAACCGGCTGCATCAAAAATGACTGCCTACGTATCCTCTTGCCTAAAGAGTCAAGGCTCACGTAGTTCACCAAATGGCCTCCAAAGGCCCTCAAGCAACTAGAAGGACTTTCAAACCTTTACGATCATCACCAACAAATCTGCAGCTGATAACTCACCCACTGGCCTCAAAGTGAAACGATCCAAATACCTCTACCTGAAGTGAACCAACGGCCATAGCCAAATCCAAACTGTGTTCACAAGCTGCACTCGAATCAAAAAACTCATCATCTACATCCACATCAATATGATCCTAACTCTTTGTCACCGTAGCTGGAATCCCTAATGACGCAGAATGATCTGGAGAACGTGGAGTAATCTCCACCCAACATGGAGTAGCATCACTCTTCACCCGCTGCGATATCCCAACAATCTGTCCAACAATCTTCACCGGCCGAGAGTCAAATGTGATATACCTGCTCAGAATAATATCAGAGTCTAATACCTGATAACCAAATATGACTCTGAGTCCCAAATGTGCACTCGGATCAAATCTCACATCCTGAATGTGACAATATGTTGGACGACCAAATATCCGAAACAATCCAAAATCTGAAACAACTCCACCAGATCCAAATACTCCAAATGCAGTAGTCGGCAACCTATGAATAAGATGATTCCAATATGTCGAAGCCTCAACACCAGAACTCCTCTGCAAACTAATGTTGACATCAAACACCGATCTCCCTCCAGCAATTAACGGCTTATCAAATCTACCACCTCATCTCGTCACCCCAATGTTTCCTCTCTAATGAAGTGTCTCAAACTGTCGTGAGCTCGGCACAAATGCAGAAAAGAACCCCTACAAAAATCAAAATGATGTATTATCTTTCTACAATTACACTTCTTCTACTTGTTGTTGACTACTAGGACTTCACACCAACGGGACTTGGTTGCAACCCACAAATACCTAGAACAGTTACCAACACAGGAAACCAAATACCTATTACCTCCTAATGATGCCTCCTTAGATGGCCCTCAAATGCCTGAATGAACACCATCTTGAAGACCCTGCGCTCGGTGAATAGAAGTACCAAACTCTACCGCGGTCTTCTTGCTAATACTAATGTGCTCACAAGACTTTAATCTGCAGGTCAAAGCACTCCTCAATAATCCATGCATGGGCATCAATAATCATATATCCCAGCATCAACAAACACCACAGTCTAGCCAAATTCAAAAAAGTTGTCAGCTCTCCACCAATCACCGTGCTCCTAATCAAATAGTATAAATTCTTCTTTCTGACTCCCTCCATCACAATCATGGACTCAAATGTGACCTTCAAAAATACATCCTCTAAGGTCACCCGATAGCCTGTTGCCTCCAAAACTCCAATTGTAAAATGATGTTCTTCTTCTACTGCGGAACGAACCTCACTTTATCCAACTCCCGAATCATCCCGTCACACAATCCGAATACGAATGGTACTAATACTACCAATAGGACATTCATGATCATTATCCATGAGCATGACATCCCCTCTTTTTAACTCCTCAAAGTTGAAGAACCAATCCCTCATAGGGCAAATGTGATAAGAAGCACCCGAATCCAACATCCACTCTGTAGAGTCGGTAACACAAACTGATGGTTGTGCAGGGAAAGAATATCCTCAAGAATTTGAATCTAAGTTGTTGTCACTAGCCTTGGTCACATTCACCTTTGAAGCTTGAATAGCTTTCTCCTCATTCTTCCCGGCTTGATCTGTCAACTATGGGAATTCGGCTTTCCAATGTTCATCTTCTTTACAAAAGGCACACTAATTCTTACCAACTACAGGTGTGCTCCTCTAGACTGTGATCGCCTACTATGGTTTGGACTCTTTCCTCTTGCGACCAATGCCCCCGCTACTGTATCAATCAAAGTCTTATTATCCTTCTTCCGAAGCTGATAATTCACAAGTGCAGTAGTGACCTCACTATACGAAATAGATACTTTCCCATTATTAATAAGAGTAAGAACGAAGGTCTCATATTCCTCGTCGGGCAAGGAACTCAACAATAACAACGCCTTGTTCTCATCTTCAATCATAATAACTACATTCGTTAAATCCGTAAGAACCTTCGTGTAGTTGTTCATGTCATCACCAATGGAGGTTCCCTTCTTCAATTGGAAGCGATAAAGCCTCCTCTTAAAATACAATTAATTTTTTACACTCTTTGTCAAATACTTTCCCTCTAGGATCTCCTAAATCTTCTTACCCGAAGTCTTATTGATCATATCATATTTTAAATCTTATGTTAAACATGACCTAATCACACCACACGCCGTTCGATTCATCTTCTTCCAAACCTTCTCCTTAATATCGTCCGGTTTCACGTACAACTCCAAACTGTCCTCCAAATTTTACGCGTTGAGTGCATCCAAGACTTGACATCTCAAAAGATCAAAATTGTTAGTGCCGTTAAATTTCTTCACATCTATCTTCATAGAGTAAATATTTAAACTTTGGACGGTCTTCACGGCACAAGTACTCTCCACAACTCCTTCTTTATCGGACATCTTTCTCAAAGCACCAACAAACCAATGCAAAACAACTGAAGAATAGATCCAAACTAAAAATGAGAGATTTTTACCTCCAACTAAAACCCTAATAAGAGCCTCTGAAAGATCTCAACCCCACACGACAGAAACGAGATCCACAATAGTAAAAATCCCATATTTATCACCAACTGAAGTCCTAGATGAGCTTCCATAGAGATCTACTCCTTCACCTAGCCCAAGCGTAGCCAAATCTCTGATACCACTTGTTGTGCGCGACGGCCAAACCGATAAGGTACCGAGAACAAATACTGGTGCCGAGAACAAATTCCATTACCGAGAGAGAAAGCAAAACAATCCAAAATATCGGCATAAATACGAACAAACAAATTTTACGTGGTTCGGCAAGTTTCTTATGTCCACAGGGCAAGAAGGGGATGGGTTTTCACTAATAGAGAAGAAGAGTATAAATAAAGATTATAAACCCACAAACTAATCTCTCACTCAAAACTCTCAATCTCTCAAATAAAACTCTAACCAATAGCTCGAGAAAAGGTTCTTTTATGTGCTCCAAATATCCCCAATACTGCTCTCCCGGAAATCCTAAAACGTGTTTAGGCTTATATATCAACACAAAACAAAACGGGACAGAAAACAAAACCTAGGCTCAGACCCGACTAGCAGTCAACCACAGAAACTATCGCGGTCGACCGTGGCAAACGACAGAACCAAAAATTCAATTCCAGGGTTTGGCGGTCGACCGTGACGGTCTATCTCTACCAACTCCAAAGCCTCAGAATCGATTACAGGGTTTGGCGGTTGACCGCGAAGGTCGACCACACCAAGTCCAGAACCAATCCCTGAGTTGTGCACGTTTTCGGTCGACCGGCCTAGCCTAGCGATCGACCGAACGTCACCA